GGTCTTGAAAGTTTTGCTAAGCAGGCACATTCTGAAAAAAGGGGAGGCAAGAAGAAAAATTAACTTGCAAAAGAGGGAATTCCAATAGTATGGTCCTTACTGTATACATGCAAAGCCACAAACATATGTTTTGGTTTAACACAATGGCACACCATTACAGCTTGACAGAGTAAACCAAGCTGGAGTTGCACATTCCATTCAGTCCAAATAGCCTGGTTTATACATAACTAAGCTATAAATCATGGCTTACAAAACATAATGACCAAGTTTGCACAATACACTAAGCCAAACCTCATTACAGCTCAGTGCAAAATAAATCCCAGCCTAGTGTTGTTCAACAAGCTATAGTTAAAAAGTATCCTGGCTTAGTGTTAGATGCAGATTCAGTATGGCCTGGTGATCAGTCAGCACCCATAAGGCTTCAGAGTTCTTATGGTGATGTAGGTTGCAGGAAAGCACATACAGATTAGTTCAAAAGTAGACAGCCTGGGATCTTTTTGATGTCTTAGACATCCACTTTAAACTCCCTTAGCCAGCATGCCCAATGACAAAAGATTGTAAAGCCAAAATAATTTAACATATCTAGAAACTGCTGACTGTTCCACAACAGAGGGTTTTTTTCATATACATCAAACAAATACAAAGTAGGAACCAGACAGCTCTTGTCTGCATTTGGTCATCATTACACCTACCTTCCTGAGAAAAAGTAAGCATATTATGGGAAGGGGAGAAAAACCAAGAAAAAGAGGCAGGGGGAAAAGAAATGTACAATGCATTTTTTTGTGGGGAGGGGGAACCACAGAAGAACACAGTCCAGAAGATGAAGTGGCTTTGAGAGATTTGTAAAGTCCATATAGGAAAGATTAATGCCAAGAAAAATAAAGAAATAAAATGTTAAAACAGGGGTAGGAAGTGCCAAGAAAAATGGACGTGCCTCCAACGATCGATAGACAGACAGACAGACAGACATGAGTTTCTAAGTACCACTGAATGAAGGAGAGCAGGGAAACCAGATACGCCTAGGCTGCTATTCCCTTCTTTCCTGATCACTGGCCATAATGGCTGAGACTGATAGGTACTGGACTCCACTAACTTCTAGCAGGCCACCAACTCCCCACTTTGGCATCCAGAAAGATAATTTATATATGATTTTTATCATCTGGCACACAACAATACATACTGTCCATGAATATGGAAAGAAGATGAAATTATAAGCTGTGTCAGCTTCTGTGTCATGCAAGCAGAAGTAAAAGGGAGCAAATGTTGATCCAGAAAAGAAAGCTCCTTCCCAAAACTTGCCAAGGAGACATTACCACCCATTCTATCTTTGCCACATCCAGTTAGCATTACCAACCTCCCACTATCCAGCCCCAGTTAACCACACAGATCCCTTGCCAAAAAAACCCACGACATGCCATCTGCTTGTCACAAAACATGTTCTCCATATCCATTGAAGCAGTTAAGAATTGCTTCAAAGAGGCAGCCCCAGCACCAATGCCCAAACCCCCCCCCCCCCCAGAAGCACATGTGGCTTTGCAGACAGTCACAAGCAATACAACAGCACTTAGCTAGGGGTAAAACAGAAAACAGAAGTTAGCAGAGCCAAAACTCAGGCAGCCCAATGCAAGATTGAGTGGGATTTTCCCCCCTGCCCCGCCCACCACCATTTCCTCTCTAGCAGACCTCAACTTTATTTCAATGTTATTTGTCTCTAGCCACAACCTTACACACAGGTTTATTCTCTAGATGGTTGCTTGCTGCAATAAAAACAACTGTAACAAATATTCTCTTGGCTCTGTTGGATAGAAACAGGATTTGAGTGAGCAGAAGGAGAAAATCATGGAAGATGGTAAGCAGGTGTCAAGGTCTTCCCAAAATACACGCATTTACAGCCGAATTCAAGCGTTTGAACAAAGCCCGGCTCTGCAGAGGAACAAGCTAAAGCTAGCCTTTAAAGGCCACTTAAATTCTGGGGTCCACCTGTCTCACTTTTACTTCTGCAAACCAAAACAAATGCTATCAATTCTAGAATCACAGGAGGGACAGTACTTCTAGCAATGTTCACGGACACTTCCTAAAAGAGAAAGATCCACAAGCTTTATTGCACATAGAGAGAAAATGAGAGAGGGGAAATGGTTTTAAATGCTACAAAGATCCCCAGGCCTCAAAAAATACTGCTTGCTTTTTATCTGAAATAAGAGTACACGTGTTGGATTAGATGACCTCACAGATACTTCCAGTGATATTGGTTCATTTTCAAACCCCAAGTCATTCCCACCATTTTTGGATTTATTTTGCAGCTCAAAAACCTCTTTAAAAAGCTAGCCCTGGCAAGGTAGTCTCTGAAAGCGATGGCTTATGTGGCAGAGCTAGAAATATATTACAGCTAGGATTCATATGATGCTACATAATGCTTATTCAAAAGTTTGGACTCAGGGTCCTAGGTCACCAAAGAGATTTCTGGCAACCCCACCCACTTTCAAAAAAATGCTCAGACTTAAATTGAAAGTACCCCCCCCACACACACACACTCATTTTCACTGTTCCTCCTCTTCCTATTCATACCCAGGAAGGGCACTCGGCAACTGCTACTTTTAGCACATGATTAGCCAAAGAGAGACAGGCTATTAACACTGCATCCAGCCTGGTCTATGAGAGATAATGTGCAGTCTTTAGACTCCAATGTTCCAACAATAGCTCTCACATTGAAGCTCTGGGGGATGGGGGTGGAGGAAAGGAAAAGAAGGGGGGGAAGCCCCCAGAAAATGGCTTCCTCTTCTTCAAAAAGTGGAAATTGAAGAGCAAACACAAGGAGGAAGCAAGGAAAATTTTAATTTGTCCCTTTGTTCTGCCTTTTTAAATTTATTTGGCTCCTTTGTGGTACATGCATTCAGCAGGCTAGTTGCCTGAAAGGAAAAGTTGTGGGTGGGTGTGCATTTTTCTCCAAAATAGATGTGTAGGAATTTAAAGAGAAAAAGCCTTCACTGAACATTTCCCCACCTCCACCTGTGAGCATTCAGTGATTTTCAGATTTGTAAATCCCCATGATTCAGAGGCAACTCAATAATCCTGCACAATTATGGAGCTAACTTAAGATTTCTCACATTTAGCACCACATTACATTTTGCTGTTGTTTTTAAGGCAATAGGGTTACAGACTGAACTGCTGGACCATCCACCATTTTTTCAAGAGGCCCATAACCTTTCTACTTTATCCACCAGGCCTGGTGCCAAGGCATGGCTTCCGCACCGCACCACTTTCTCACCCAACCACCAACCCCAGGGATTCTGGGAACTGAACACGGCTGCAGATTAAATAAAGAGGATATTGTACCAATGTACTCTCAAGCTGTCTGGCTGGGCAGACTCCCCAGTTGCCTGGCATGGTTGAAAAGTAACTGCAGCAGCATAGACTAGGGCACATTGATTTCCTGAGTGTATATATAACCCATGCACAAACATTGTTGGCACGGCTGAAGGGAAAGGACAGCTACAACCAGACAATACTGGGCATCAAAAACAAACAGTCTGTGCACACATCCTAAACACCAATACTATTTACAAGCGCACTGAATTAGTACAATCGGAATCGCTCTGATTATATGTTTGTTTATTGATGGTTAAATTTTCTTCCTATGTGAAATTCCAAGGAGACAGCCTACAGGAGGAAAAAACACCTTGGATTTCTTCAAATCAGCAATCATGTATAGTGTGGCAATACCCCCCACCCCCGCTTACTGTTTGGCAAGGTGGGAGGGCAAGCAATTAATTAACTACTTCTTTCTTTTAAAGTTCATGCACTTTATAGAGTCACTGAGATTTACTACAGATCAATGAAAACTACAGACAGAACACATCATGCAACATAATTCTCCATTTTTAAGAAATGCCACTGCAGCAGGGCAGACCTTTCTGTGTGCCCTATGTAAATTTAACCATAAAATACAACATAAAGAGAGAGAACTGCCCAGAAACAAGAAAGGCAAGTGCATGTAAGAATGCAGAAAGACAGAATGGCTAATCACATATCTTTCTTTGATCCAAGGACACAGGCACAACTGATTCCAGTTTTGAGAATCCTGCTACATTTCCTAAATTAAAGAAGATAAAGGATTTATTTTGATAGAAAAAGTCACCACATTCAGTTGACTACCGAAGATGGACAAAACACCCTATGTAGAGCCCCACAAATCTGTATCTTTCCATTTAATGTTTTATTCCGAACCTCATCCAGAGTTCTGATGCATCCTTTTTTGCACATCTGTAAACCCCATTTACACACCAAGAGTTATGCTTCACCCACGCTACTGCAAACTGAGTTTTGGCATGATATAAGCATCTGCTATGTGCACAAAGCCAGTTTTTGAGATTCACACACACAGACACAAGCCTCGTCCAAGAGGTACAGCTGCACACTTACTTAAAAATCAGCCCTTCCCATACCAAGCAAAGGCGTCTATGTTGGATTTATACTCCATCTTTCTACTCAAGCAAGTACTCAAGGCAACTTGCTTCCAAATGGAAAAGAGACCATCTGGCGGCACAGTTCCTTAAGCAGATCCAAGAATATTATCTATGTATTTCTTTCAAGATACATTCACAGTCCTCACACAAGTCATGTTAACTCCAGAGAGGTTGGATTCCCACAATCCCCAACCAGGTAGCAGGCTACAAAATTTGACCTAAGCGTGATTACTTAGAAGCTTGACTGACTGGATATATCACCTGTGCCAAGATGTAAACCAACTGTGTCCCAAGCACAAGCAACCTCACCCCTTCCAGGGGTTTGGGGTTACAGCTCCTAATATCTCTTTGACTTCAGCCACGCCAGCCCCAACTGAGGACTGCTGAAACCCCAGTCACCTGGCATCCCCTGAGTCTCCAGTCATCAGCAAAGCTGGCCTCCTCCTTTGAAGGAGCAACCTGGACCAACTCCAGTACAAGTCCCAACCAACCAGGGCCCCTTGCCTCCCACAGGGCACAGCCCAAGCCCTTGCTCACCCTGGGCGCCTTCCTCTTGTACCGATGGCTGTAGTCAAACTTCTCCTTCATCTCGTCCAGGCACTGGCTCAGCCTGGCTTTCTCCTCCTTGCCGGCATAATCCTGGCTAAGGAGGATGTACGCTCGCCAGTTGGCAGAGTCGAAGCCCCAGTGGCAAGTTCGGTTCTCCAGGGCTTTGTGCGAATGGATGACAAACTTGTGCGGCGGGTACATGAGCCGGCAGTCGAGGCACTGGATGCAGGGGGCGCTGGGGTTGCTGTAGAGCTCGGGCACCAGGAGGCCCTTACACTTGCCAAAGCACTCGTGGTAGACTTTGAAGCTCCGCTCGGTCAGCTCCAGCTCCAGTTCCAGCGCGCCGCCGCCAGCGCCGGCCAGCTCCTTCTTGCAACGGCCGGGAGGGAAGGCGCCACCGTAGAGTAAGGCGTTGCAGAGGCGCTCGGCGTCGGTCTTGGTGATGAGGCCGCAGGAGGGCGCCGAGAAGGGCAGGATGCCCATGACTTTGAGGATTTCCAGCTGGTCGGCGGTGCAGCGGGAGCAGTAGACGTGAAGCTCGTCGCAGACGGCGTTGATCTGCTGTAGCGAGAAGTCGCGCAGGACCGAGTTGAGGATCTGGGGCAGGCAGAGCCGCTTCTCGCCGCCCACCACGAAGCACGAGATGGTCTCGCCTTCCAGGACGGTCTCGCAGCGCTCCGTCGAGCGGTCCGACGGCATGAAGAACGGGCCGGGCATCACCGGCGGCGGGGGCGGCGGGATGGGCGGTAGG